TCCTTCCATTCCTTCCTTCCTTCCTTCCTTCTAAAGGCAGTCAGCTCAGTGCACAATCTACAGAATCAACTGTAACAGTGCTAGAAGTTCATTGTTTTCACTTTAATTGATATTCTTATGGTTCAAAAACCTTTCTAGTATAGATAATTGTATAGGCAGAAGCTACTTTACCAAAGTCTATCTTGTTTTCTCCCGGTTGGGGAGCACGTTCCCTGTGTTGCTATTAAATGGATGGTCATGTACTTGATTGCCATTTCAAGAATTCCTCCTTATTTTCTCAAGGAAATAAAACCACGCTGGCTGGAATTTATCTCTGTGAATATTAAGGCTGCAGGCAGGCTGTCCTGGAGCCTATGCATTTCGTAGTGATATGTAGTACTGATCCACCATTTAAGAGAGCTGCTTTTGTGAAACCCAGTTTAAATCAGGACATACAGTGTCTGTCTTCACATGGCAAGTGATTTCTGTTCAAAGGCTGCTCATACCAATTGGGGTATCGGCATCACAAGTCACCAGCAACTATTAATCTTTGGTGATGCAACTCACTGGTGTCTAATTCACCCAAGCACATATTGCAGTTCAGGAAGATCCCCCCAATAGCTGAACATGTGAACATTCAAAGGGATTCATTGTGACCGAGATTGTGAGATGGTATTGGTGCTAAAATCAGTCTGTCCATCACATCAGACTGAGGCTTTGCCTTTAAATATCCTCACTTGATATGGCAGTCATCAGGTGATGAAGGACTGTGAAGCAGCCGCAGGTCAGAGCCTTTGTGCCGTTCAATTTTGCAGCAATGCCTTCCCAAGTTGTACTGTGGTTGTTCAGCACTGGAGCAAGTGTTGTAAAATAAAAGAAGGTGGAGAGCCAGGTGGCAGTAAACTCAGTAAGAATAATGCCACGTGCATTGTGGACAGGTCACTCCACAAGTGTCTCTGGATTGCAAACTGGGAAGAGATTTTAAGCCAGATAGATGAGCCCTAAAATTGTAAATGTTCCCAAAAGAAGATCAGGAGAAGGCCTGAAGGAAACCAGACTGACATGTGCAAGGGGAGGGGGCGTGAGGGCTGAATTGATGACTTGGGGAGGATGGGTGGGAATGAAGGGTGATGCAGATAGTAGCTGTCATGTGCTGCCAGAAGACCATGCACTGGAGGGGGGGGACTGTTAAACTTGTGAAAGAGGTTGTTTTGCAGATCTCTCTGAATTTGATATGCTGTTGGCAAGTATTCGAAGCAGTCATAGATTTGGCAATCTTCTACTAGCAGATTTGAAATGTTCATTCCTCAAGAACTGCTGCATCATTAGGTTATGCAAAACAGGGTACAATTTTGTAAATATGCCATCTTGTACTGGTATGACATTTATTCTGTTATCCAAGAAATATGCCAAAGGGAGAGAGACCTTCAGATTTCAGCCAAATATTAACTTGTTTATTGAGTGCTGATAAAATGTTGACTGCTGTTTGATCTTTTTACAAAGCGAGCACTCCTTGCTGTGGCTTTGGTGTTAGAGAGGAGCAGAGGGCATTTTTGCAGCTGGATTCATGAAAAGAGTGTAGGTACCGTATATTCCGGAGTATAAGACGACTTTCTAAACACTTAAAATCTTTGCAAAAGTGGGGGGTCGTCTTATACGCCGGAAAAATATTACTCAGCAAGTTTTCTCTTCTCCCCCCCCTCTCTCTCACTCAAAAAGAGTCCTAGGGTTATTATTAAAACCAGCCGATCAACTAAAGATATCTCTGAGAGTACGATAGGCATTATCTGGCTGTTGTGACGGTAAGATTTCCTGGAGGTTTAATCCCCATTCTATAATGCTACATTGCAAACCGTCTCCTCTCTTCTTCCCTCCCTTTTGCATCCCAATTCCTTGCCCACCCCTCCAGAACTGCGGATTGGTAGTGGCCATCCCCTGATTAATTCATTCAAAGGAAGTAGAAAGGGATGGCCCATGTAATGGGGAAGGGGGGAAAAGAATTGTAGGGTGGTTTTTTTTATATAATGAAAACAAACCTAAGCATCTGCGTCCATTCGAGGCACTTCTCAGTGCTTCTTCATGCAAGCTTTTCAGCGTTTACCTCTCACTGCCGGTGAGAGTAGCTTGGGGGAGGCGGAGCTTATGGGTCTGGAAGGGGAGGGGTGTCAGCTAAATTCCTCTCGGATTCATGAAGCAGGAATGGAGTGGGAACAGAAAACAGCTACACAATCCTTTTGCCTGTCGACTTCCACCGAGCTTATGCAAGCAGTTTCTCCCCCCCCCCCTAAATAAACTTGCATGGTGCATTTGTGATGTTATTTATGACAGATCCTGGCTGGTCAATCTGGCTCCCATCTATAAGTACTGTAGTGCACTGAGTTTTAATAACAAATTAAAAGGAAAGCATTTACTCCCCCCCCCATTACCTGAAAAGGGGGCAACTTATCACATTTATGGAAATGCAAGTTTTCGAAGGGCGAATGCCTTTCTTACTTAGTTTATTAATTGCTTCCTTTCCTTCTTCCCTAAACATTCTGGCTGTCTCCAATTTCATTCTTGGTAGTGTTGCTTTAAAAAACTGCTGAGAAGTCCTTTTGCAGGCAGGGCAATTTTCATCAAGGTGTGTGTGCGATTGACAAGGCAGAGCCTTTGACAAACAGGCAGGCTTTCTGCTCACTCAGCTTGGAGGGTGGAAGACTGAATGGAGGAGATCCCTGCGTGCAGCCTGCTTGCTCCAAGCCAAAGCTTGCTACTGGGGGGAGAGCAATGGAAGGGACCCAGGGAGTCACACGCATGCCTACACGTGCACGCACACACCCTGAGCTACTCATTTGGACTTACAGGTGGCCAATGAGAACTCAGAAACTGTGCTCCCTTTCCCCCTCCCTCATGGAATTAGCTTGTCCATTTTTTCCCTAGGGCCTATACAGGAGTAGGCAACCTTGGCTCTTTTATGACTCATGGACTTCAACTCCCAGAATTCCTGAGCCAGCATAGCTGGCTCAGGAATTCTGGAAGTTGAAGTCCATGAGTCATAAAAGAGCCAAGGTTGCCTACCCCTGGCCTATAAGATGACAGGAAGGGTTGGGCAGGCAGGGAGAGCTGATCCACCCAATCCAAGCAGGCTTTGTATACAACAACCAGCCAAGGTTCATCACTTGCTGTGATTGGCTGGTTGTTGTATACTGGGTACATACAGTACAGCACCAGTATCTGTACCAGTTCATACAGTACAGCACCAATACATACAGTACAGTATACAAATGTCCAATAGTCAAGACCCCATCATGGCTCCACCAGCAAGAAGAAAGAAATATGAAGCCAGTTTCAAACTTAAAGTTGTAAACTTTGCCATGGAACATAATAACTGCGCTGCTGCAAGACAATATGGAGTTTTTCTGCTAAGTACCTTTATGTCATAAGCATTTGAATTAAAATTACCATATTGAAATCAAATCTGATGTTTTTTAATTTTTATTTGGTGTGCGTTGAAAGAGGGGTAGTCTTATACGGCGAGTATAGCCCAAACTCTATATTTTAACTGGAAAAGTTGGGGGTCGTCTTATACGCCCAGTCGTCTTATACGCCGGAATATACGGTAGACACAGATTGCCTTGCCTGCAAAAGTTCCCTGAAGCCTATTTCCTGCGTCCATTTCTCCCTTGTAAAGATTCATTTGATAAGAATCAGGCAAATGTGGCTTAATAAAGAGCAGTTAAGAATGGTGATTCCATTTTTGGCTGGTCTTATTTTTTGGCAATAAGTTATATTCAAAACTGATCTTACATTTCCCCCCCACCCCAATTGGTCACAGTCAACAAATTGAACAATTGAAAGATGAAAAAAACTCAGGTCAGTTTCCCAGGAGAACAAAGAGCTATTAAAATATAGCATAGATTATCTCTTTCTTGATTGTCACTGGATTCCAAACAGAGCATCCATGCTGAACACTGCAAGTCCCAAAGAGGAGCACCAGAGAAACACAGGGAAATGCAGTATTCAACTTTGTGCAGTGTCATACTATAGTTTTACACATCTACTCACTGCATGTCGGAAGCCGAGTTATCTTCCTGCTGAAAAGTGGCAAGTACATTACCTTGAGGGCACTAATCACGAAAGGGGAACAACAGGCATAGAGTTATTTCTGTTTATTCCCTTAAGCTAGAAGCCTGTGTTGTCAACACAAAGTTGGCAAGTGGGATGTGAGCTTTCACAAACACATGCATACACAGCTTTGCAGGGTTGAACACAATGGCTGCCTGCGATCTGTGGGCACGGTGTATATGTGCAAGATAAATTTTTAAATTTACAGAATATTTTTATACAGATAGCTTGAATGGGTACTAAAACCCTAGATGATTAGTAGCAAACATATCAGAGAGCTCTTTTTATCAAAGCTGTAATGAGCATCAGTGGGGAAGTAATTTCTCTAAGCTATGTTTTGGTTCATGCAATGTGTTACTTCCACTTATTTAGCTTCATATTTTGCAATTTATCTTCAGAGCATGAACAGAAGTAGCTTTTATACAGTTTTTAGTTATCCCAAAGTGTTGGGTACTTGTCCAGTCATTTAGATAAGTGAAGAAGTTACGTTTTTCCATTTAAAATCTGGGTGTAGTAATTAGAATGTCAGCTTTGCAAGTTAAAAAGCTTATTTCTATAAACTTCTCTAAGTGAACCGACAGCCATTCCATTTCTGTTCTCAGGAAATAAAATAAGATCCAGAAGTGACATTTTTCCATCATCAGAGTTCTGTCTTTGGATATATTTGTGATGATAGTTGAAGCTTTCAGCAGCACTTTAGAGGGAACAGCTGCATCTGTGTCTCCTGAAGTCAACTTAAGGGCATCTTCACGATAGGCACAGAAAGCTTTTTCCATTTAGGAATGTTATATGAATAGCATGGTCATATAGACATAACCTTTATTTTCCTTTTGAATTAAAATAGCAACCTGTGGTATTAATGTGAATTTGAGTTACTCACATGGAGGTTGTGTGGTTTATTTATGTTTACATTTTAGAACTCTACAGTTATGGCTAGAGCAGAAAACTTTCGGACAGTCGACTATCTATTGATCCATGGAACAGCAGATGGTAAGCAGAGTTAGACTTCATTGGTCATAAGAGAATGGGTCTACTGCCGTGTTTCCCCGAAAATAAGACCAGGTCTTATTTTATTTTATTTTTGGACTGAAAGACCTACCCATTAGGTCTTATTTTCAGGGGGGTGTATATTTTGCGGCTGCCCACCCGCTCCCTCCCACCACCTGCTTGCCTGTGGCCACAACGGCGTATAGGGCTTCCCAGGGCAGATGCACTTTTCACTTGGACAGAGAAATGACAGAGACTGGAAGCTTTGTCTGCTTGCAAAAGGGGCGTTTTGAAATGGAACTATTCGCTCCGTTTCAAAGCACCCCATTTGCAAGCAGATGAAGCTTCCAGTCTCCCTCTGGGCAAAAAGTGTGTGGTGGAGACAGGCGGAGGCAAAGGCATGGGGAGGGAGGCAGGCAAACCCGACACACCACCCACTCTGCCCCACCAGCTCTCGGCTTGCCCGTAGCCACGCCAGGATCACCTGCCTCCCCTCCCATGCCTCTGCCTCCGCTTGCTGCTAATCCTGTCGCACAAGCTTCCGCGAGCCTCCTGTGAGCCAGGCGGATGTGCAGCATATCCAGATTGCCTGAATCCCCTCCCCCTCAGCCTCAGATTCCATGCTCGGACTTTCCTGTGCCGCGTGAAGGGGCCAGCAGGCTTAGGCTGCTGCCAGACACCTTCGGCCCGCACATGTTCGCCATCTCTTGTGCTGTCCATGCCCATCCTCTCAGGCTTATTTTTTGTGGTACGGCTTATATTTGGCCCACTCCCCCAAAAATCAGGCTAGGGTAGTGATGGCGAACCTTTTAAGACTGAGTGCCCAAACTGCAACCCAAAACCCACTTATACATCGTCGAGTGCCAGCTGGGTGTGGCCCATTTGGTGGGCATGGCCAATTGGGTGGGCGTGGCTGCGGTGGTAACGGAAGACTGGGTGGGACTAAAAAGTTCAATCAAATAATTCCAACTTTGCAAGATCTTTTTTTTTCCTGCGAGAAGTTTAATTTTTTTTTTTTTTTGCACATGGTGGCGGTGGCCTAAAGTGAAAAGGTTTTATAAAACCCAGCTGAAGGTCTAGGACTGGGGCGACGGCACACGTGCCCACAGAGAGGGCTCTGAGTACCACCTCTGGCACCTTGCCATAGGTTCGCCACCACTGGGCTAGGGCTTATTTTCGGGGTGGGTCTTATTTTCAGGGAAACATAATAGTAACAAAACAACCCCCCCCAAAGGCAACCACCTTCAGAACTGCTTTGCTCACGTCTTGGAAATCTCTAGTAAAACTCCGGGACGAGTTCTCCCTTCTTCTTTCCATCTAAGCAATAGTCTGCTTTTATTGTGACAGTTTGTCTGTTCTTATTTCCTAGATAATGTTCATTTTCAGCAAGCAGCCCAGATTTCAAAAGCTCTGGTTGATGCAGAGGTGGATTTCCAAGCAATGGTATGTGAAGAAATTAATCAGCAGCTTAGCATGCATGTTGTTTACATTCTCAGTGAAGAAGTAAATGTAGGTAGTCCTCAGCTTACACCTTTAATGGAGCCTGCCCATTATAATTCATGACAGTCATAAAGTGACTTATAAGTGATCCCATGGCAACCCTGATTTTATTACCTTTTTTGCAATGGAAGTTAAGTGATTCACATAGCCATTAAGCCAACATTGCGGTCGTTAAGTGAACCCATTGTTTATTATGGGACATTTTTTCTGAAAACCACTTTTTGGCAAAAACATCATAAATTGCAGTCATATGATCTCAGGATGCTGCAAATGACCATAAATGTGGACCCAGTTGTCAAGCATTCAAAATGCAGTCATGTGACCGCAGTTGACCATTGCAACTTTGGAATCAGGTAATATGTGGGGGGAGGGTCCATCTGACTTTGGTCACTAAGCAACTGGTCATAAGTCAAGGACTATCTGTATAAGAGGAGGAGGTTTGTAAAAGGGGATGTACGCATTGCTGAAAGCAACATCGCAGATAGGACATTGTAGAAAATAGAATGCATGTGCATTCCTTCCTTTAAAGTGAAGAAGTTGGCTTCATTTGCTGAAAAGCTCCAATTATGTACAGCAGCATCAGTAATATATTCTTGAGCATTTAGGGAGAAGATACAATCCACTGAGTAGATAGCAAAGGTCCCCCCCACTTTTTTTTAAGCAGCACCGATTTAGTTTTCTTGCTACTGAGAGGTACTAAGGTAAGGGTGGGGAACTTGAGAATATACGATGGATACATTCACCAAATAGAAACTTGCCCATCCTCAGAATGGGTTCAATAGTGAGCATGGCCAATGCATAAAATATCCATTTACCAGAAAGTAAGTCCCTCAAGATGCTTGTAACTATCCCAGTAGAAATTGGGGGGAGGGTGTATTCTTCTAAATAGCTACAGCCCTAGAAACTATAGCTACTTAATTTATTTTTCTTTAAAATGATCTTTCAAGAGAAACCAGGCAGAAGAGAGAGTTTGTTGAGCATTGTGGAATGTAGGGCACATTGGTGCTTGTGGGTGCTGCATGGTCTGCCAGCACACAAAGGGCTTGCTGATGAGAGCAACTAAACTGTTGCTATGGTTACGCAAACCCCATCTTCTCCCAAATGTTCTTACCTACCGGTATCATTGAAAGTTGCAGATGTCAGGCGTCAAAGAAGAATACGTAGTGATTCTGCCAAGCAGATTTCTTTATTGATCCATGCCTATAGGCAAAATCTTGCCAAACTAAAGCATTCTGCTATATGTGCAAGCCTATGCTCAGGAACTATTAGAGGGGTGGTGGTGTCTTCACCCTATTTCTCTCACCCAAAATATCTGAAATAAGTTCGCTGCTTCTCTGAAATCGCACCCCTCCCTCCTTGGAATCCAGCTCACTATGTTCCAGTACACAAGAGATGAATAAACCCATAAAAGAGGTTGAGATATATTTGGCCAGGCCTTCAATTAGATTCTGGTATAGTTGTGTTGATTTTATCTACACCATAGCAGTATTATCTACATTATTACTACAGGGGTGCTCTCAGGTCTTGTCCCAGTCCTAAGTGGGAATTAAACACTAACCCTAAGTCCAGCATCCACAGCATACCAACTCTCAGCTTTTTTACAAAGAAAGTGTATAATCTCCCAAAATTCTTTCTGATCTAATCTAGGTTGACCAGATCTGGGCTGCCAAAAATTTGTAGCAAAGAAACCCAGGGAATCTTTAGTAATTGGCTGCCATTTAGCAGATCTTAGCAAGCCTATTCTTGCCTCAAGGAGCCTTTTTGTACAGCCCTGCCTCTGTCATAAATAGTGCATGGACCTGTTGAAGAGGGCAGCCTTGCCCATTTCTACTTTCCCTCATCCCAATAGGACACTTCTAAAGTTAGGCTCAGTTCCCCAGCTCTAAATATTGGTGATTAGTTGTAGCTTACTTTTGTTCTGGATGCCTAAGCAGGAATTACATTTGGAGGATTCATATGGCCAAGGCAAAGAGAAAACTGAAGGAGCTCTGTTCATAACTTATATAAGGCAAGAATGGATTTCCAGCACTGAGAAGCTTTCAGTCAGTTCTCAGGCAACATATCTTGTGGTATGTAGTTATCTGGAAGCAAAGCCCCTCTATCCACCTTCCCTTTCAGAAGGAGATAGGCAGAATGCAGTCTTTCCCTTCCATCTTTTTCCTACTCCACCTTCAAGTATTACCTTGTCTTCTCAACTTCTTAGTATGCATAAACATTAGTTGTTGATCAAGAGTCGTCATCATGATTAACATATGATAACCACCTGACTTCAATGGCACTTTTTATATGTGACATTTACAAAATGTGAAACAATCCATAACTGAAGGAATCCTGTTAATTTTTATTGCAAATTAAAGTTGGGATTTACCATTTTTAGCCCTCAAACAAACAAACAAAATCAACTTTCTTCAAATGTTTTCATTACATTCTGGTTTCAGTGGTATAAAAGTACTGTTTCTGTTTATCCAGCATGATGGATGTACATTTTATCATCTCGAGTAATAAATTGTATTATTTGCTCTAATACAAAGCATTCGTGTAGTGTTCCAGTTTTGTGATGGGCCATTTATAATTGATTTTTTTGTTTTGTTTTTCTTTTTTCAGTGGTATACAGATAAAGATCATGGAATTGGAGGACATGCCCACAGCCATATCTACCAACACATGAGTCATTTTATGAAACAGTGTTTTAAATTGCCATAATATTGGGAATGCCTTATCTGAAACTGTTCAATTTCTGAAGTCTTAAGAGCACTTTTCTAGTAAATTTTCCCATATTTCATTGGATGACACAGTCTGTTTAATTTGTGTGGACACCTGAATGAAGAAAACGTTATTTTTTGTTCTTACTGCAATTATCTGCAGGGATCCACTGAGCACAAACCAAAGAACTGCAGATCCCTGTCGTTCCTGTAAGAGCTGCTCTAGTCTTTTTTTTCCTTAAGGACTATTTTGCATAATAGTGTTTTTTAAATGCAAGTTTCCTTGCAGTAAGCAACCATTGCCCTGGGTGCAAAAATCTTGCCTTAATTTTTTTTATATGGAACTTGTTCTTTTGAAAGAAGGCTTAATCCAGGTTCATCAACTGTTCCTTACAGGCTAGGAAAATATACTTGAATTTCTGCTCAAGTTCTCTCTGTATTAATTTTAGGTGAAAATTTAGCATTTCAATAAGTATCAGTTTTAGTTTTTCGTTACCTGAACTTATGTGTTCGCTCTCTATAAATTTCTACCAAAATAAACAGTAGCTGATATAGGGAAATCAATCTGTGATGGGAGAGTTTTGCAATCAAACTTCTTGCTTAAACAGAGAGGAAAGACCCTGCCCTAGAAGCTTCTAACTTCTTTAAAGTCAAGATGGCAGTTTTATTGGAATATGCCTCCAGATAGAAGAAAAAGGAGAGGAGAGACCGGAAGATTAAAATGTTTTTTTTCTGTCTGGAATATTTGGAGGAAAATTCCAGGAGACACTCTAGAACAGAGGTCCCCAACCTTTTGGGCACCAGGGACTGGTTCCGTGGAGAGAGGTTTTTCTGCAGACCAGAGGGTACCTGGTTTTGTGTGCTGCTTGCATCTCGCAGATGGGGCTTTGCTTGTTTGTGCGGACTGGCTGCTAGCATGCCATGGTCCGGTACTGATCCATGGACCGGGGGTTGGGGACCCCTGCTCTAGAACCAGCAAGTCAGACTACTTTCAGAACTACTTGATAATCACCTAACAATGAAAATATCAGCTACTTGAATTGTTCGCATTGGGCAGTTGGGAGGCAGGGTACCAGGGCCAGCTCACCAAGGGCTTTCATGAATCTGTCCAAGTGAATGATGCCAGGTTTCAACCTTGAGAATGGCAGGATACTTGGAAAAAAGCAAAAGGTGTTTGGTTTGTACATCTAGCGTTAAGCAAAGTGGAGGTATGAGTAGCTACATCTGGGTGCCTCAGGGATTTTATTAAGGCTGTTGGCTCCAACAAGCAGCCAGTTTTCTCCCTTCTGCTTTCTATATGCTTGCTATACCAGATGATCTCACGTTTCCCGTCTCCAACATATATGCAGTACAGTGGAAATTGCTTTTCCTGTATGATTAGCCCAAACATAGGCAGCATTTCTGGTGACACTACCTGCAGTGGGTTCCAGATTGGGTGAGAGTGAATATCTAATCTGCCAAATGCACATTTCTAAACAATCACTAGGAGAGACCCAGGGTTTCCACAGAATTGGGAATGGAGAGCAAGGTTAGATGCTGTAGGATGAGAATTAGCACAGGAATTGGAACCAGATTGCCTACTTTCTGAGCAATTAGATATTTAGTCTCTGTATTAATCGTATCTCATTTGAATTAATATCAAATTTAAGACCTATGGTACATGTTTGGTTCTCTGTATGATATAATTATATGTAGCCATCATACATAGGAATCATGAAGACAGCAATAATCTGGTTCCTCTGTTATGGTGAGTAATATAATTTGTGAGAATGGGATGCAAAACATAGTTTCAGAACTTTTCTATGCATGAGATTTATATTGGATGAATGTAATTTGTTAGCACAATCTTCTAAAAGTTTTATTAAAGGATTATTAAAATAGATCGCCTTGCAAAAGTTGGTATTTTAACTCTAATGCAATAAAATAATTGTTTACTACCAAGGACTAAAACATGTGATGAAGTCTTTATTTGTTAGCCTCAGCTACAGAAGTTGCAACAATTTAGAGTTCAATCCATTGTTATTGTTGCTCCTAAACTTTGGGAACTTCTCTGGTCCACACTTTTTACATTTTCATAATAGGCATCATCATAGTGTTTCAGTTTAATTGATCATGATTTTTATGTTACTTTAATTTGCTTTTAATTATGATTTTTATTAATTATGCTTCCCTCTCTTTTTGAGAGTTGAAGATCATTTGGAGGGCATCCAGGTTGGGAAAAGCGGAATTAATAGGATTGTACTTTGAGTCTCTTTAATGAGTGGAAAATTTTAATTTAGTGAATATTAGCAGCTTTTCATAATTGCGACAGTTCATATTAGTATCATGTAACAAAATTTGTTGAGTATGTTATATTCAGTAAGTCAGTGTCAAATCTTACTTTTTCTGGCATGGTGAGTTGTCAGTGACATTAGGTGTGAATTCAAAGTAGACAAGGGAAGGGAGAGGAGAGCTGTGTGGAGAACAAAAATCATTTTGTGATACATGTCATAAAGATTTTAGATTCAGCAGGGAAAGTAAATGTATTCTGATTTCTTCAAAGTGAAAGTTGTGCAGGAAGCTTGTTAAATAAAGCAGATATAAAGTGTCATAATCCGCATGTCTCTACACCAGGAAGCAGTCCTATATTGTTACTTTTTGAATACCTCCTGCTAGCTCTGTTTAAAATCCACAGATGCCTGAATTTTAAAGTAAAAACAGACAATCATTCATGAAGTCCATCAAATACATATGTAATTTGCTCTTGCATAAATGGAATTGTAGACTTGAAGTGAAAAAAAAAGAAGACTGGATTTAGTTCTATCACGAATAACACCATCTAATACATATGTAAAGAATTAGTCCTAATGGGTTCATATTGGCTTTTTTTCAAGTGTCTGCATACGTGGGTCTACAGTTCTACTTAATTGTAAAATGTGTAGAACAGGAGGGACAATCTGCATCCCAAGAGCCACAATATGTCCCTTAAAGACTGCTCTGATCATGATTGCTGAACCCTGGCAGCCTAGTTTCTTGCCATTTTGTGTGGGGATCAAATAGGAACTCAGACATTTAACACCCCCATTCTGCCTAACGCTTGATTTAGACTTGTCTGCAACTGCATGTAGCATCGACACATACCTAGGCTGAGAAAAGGGTTGACGGATAAGCGTAGGTTGCAGATGGTTGCAGACAGGTAACCATGGGCCTACCACCCAATCTCAGCTAAGCATTGTGTGAGATGCAAGTCCTGCATGCTGGTTGGTTGATTCAACTTCCTCTTGAGAGGTGAGAGGAAGGCAAGGCACATTCAAATGACATTAACATTTATAGAAGTGCTAATAAAACAGCTATGCAACCATCTCGGAATGATAAGTACATACATGGGATAACGGAGAAGCCTAACCCGAGCTTTACTCTTTCCTTATCCCTCCCTGTTAAGGGTTGCTCATCCCTAATTTAGATACACAGACCTTACATTTTTTAAAAAAAAATTCCTGGAGTGGGTTGCAAAAGAAAATAAAAAATATACTAAGGTGTAATTTCATATCAGTTCAAATGTATAGAATTCATCAACCTAGTAATGATTAATGCTACTCCGTAGCAAACAAACTCTCCAGCTTGAACTCAAATTCTGGTGGCTTCGTAGATATATCCAGTGGTGGTATTCAGTCAGTTTGCATCATTTTGTTGCCCAGGCCCAGAATGGACTTCCAGAAGCGGCACCCACACAGAGAACCGGTTGTTCACATATTTGAATCCCACCACTGGATATATCCATATAGCTTTGTTGGCAACAAGATGTAAGTGGCTTGCCATTGTCTCCTCAATGTTTTTTTTTTTAAATGTCTTGGTAGCCTCCAATCCAATGACTCCTCCAGTCTAACCTTGATTAGCTTTTTGAGATTAGCTAAAGTCTGATAGATGCTGTTAAAGCATCGTGTATTGATTTAGACATGAAATAGCACAACAAATCTCTTAGGGTTATGGCAGGGTTAATAATGAACTTTAATATTTGGATCCTGATCCAGAGAACTGCAGGATCTAAAGTTTGCATGTTTACTATAAGAGAGGCCTGAGACCGGGACTTGCTAGCAACAAATCACTGCTGCAGTGGTCACAGGAGAGTGCTGATTAACTGTGCATGTTGGATTAAATCCTTGTATAAAATCTTATTTGTATTTGTGGAAAAGGTTAATGACAATGTATTTTGCTTGCATCATAAGCAATAAACATAGGCATGTTCAATATAAACAGGAAGAACAGTTAGGATAAATATTTATTTCTGGATAACATTTCTTGAGTCATGAAAAAACAATACTCTATTCACACGTACACTTAAAACTTTTTAATAAATTACATCCAAGAAATTAAGCAGTTTGACCAGGAAATGGGAAATTAAAAGTAAATATACTACTGCCAGTTGCATTTTACTCTCTTACTGTGATTTGAAAATGTTGGGATTGATACTCACACAAAAACAAGCTGTTTTAAAAAAGAGCCCTCCAAAATACTGAACAGAAATACTGCAGAATATAATTCAGTCCATGAATTTTTAGTGTCCAGAAAGCTGAGTTGATTGTTCTGCATATCAGCATTTTTTTTACAAAAAAATATCAGCGGTCAGTTTCTCTTCATGGACTACTCTGCATTGCATGGCTATTAAAAGACTCACTTGGAATGTTACAAGGGATCATCCAGTACACAATGACAAAGCATTTTAATCTTATTAGAGTCATACTTTTATCTAAATCAGTGTTTCCCAAACTTGACAATTTTAAGGCAGGTGGACTTCAATTCCCAGAATTCCACAGCCAGCATTGCTGGCTGTGGAATTCTGGGAGTTGAAGTCCACCTGCCTTAAAATTGTCAAGTTTGGGAAACACTGATCTAAATTTATCCATACATTTTATTCAGTGCAGGTTTTTTTTTCTTTGAATTTATCATTTGCATACAAGAATGTGAAGAATTTAGACAACACTGAGAAAATATTGGGCATCAAAAATAGCTTCAGAAGCAATGCTTTTCATTATGTAAATCTAATTTAGCCTATTTTTGGCACAAAAGCAGCTGGTGTGATACTGTGTACAAAGCACAAGGCATGTGGAATTGGGTAGCCTAGACTCTTACTCACTATCATTGAAGAAAGAGTAGCCTGTGCAGGTGGATGAGGCCCATTTTTCAGAGCAGTCACTCCCAAGCTCCTGCAGTTGAGCAGGTTGCTGTGAATCTGACACAAATGGCTCTTAAGGCTACAACTTCCTTGCAAAAGGCAAGAATACATTCTCTTCTAGCTGACGATAGGAGAGAACATATCTATGGCAAGGCCTTGGCTCCTTAATCTTGGTTCTCTATCCGCAACATGGAATTAACACCACATACTGCCCACTTGAACAGGTGGAGAAAATCTGAAGCTGGTGGATGCATTTGACTCCAATTGTAGGAGATGTTTTATACCAGGGGTAAGGAACTATGGTCCCTTTATGACTTGTGGACTTCAACTCCCAGAATTCCTGAACCAGCCATGCTCAGGAATTCTGGGAGTTGAAGTCCACAAGTCATAAAGGGCCTGTAGTTCCTCACCCCTGTTCTACAGGAAAAGCCAGAATCTAGTTGCTGCTGGTGGTCTCCATTAGGTGGATCTAGTGGGGTGAGAGGTTCTACAGAAGAACAAAGCCTTCCACACACAAACTGTTTAAAAGGTATGCTAAAAGGTGAAGTCATTTTCAAATTGTAAAAAGAACTGTACCTTTTTTTTCTGTCCTGGAAAATCCCTATTCTTTGGTCCTATGTTCCTGTCAACATGTACTGTATTTACTTTGAAATTCATGATCCTTTGGAGAGAAACAGGCACAAATGCTTCATCTAAAGATTCCCATTTTTTTCTTGCACAGACCTAACTTCCAGTGTATGTCACCCACTCAAACATTTCAATGGAGAAGTCAGTTCGACAACTGCAACCTTTCCAGGTCCCTGACTTGCAAACAAGAATCAGGGATGATTCTTATCACTGATTCTGCCCCCTTATTCTCTTCTAGCTATCCAAGCTCTGCTGCTTGCGGCTGTTACTATACCTGCCAGCAAAACTCGGCTGAGGATTCTTCCCATATTAGGGGCAACTTGGAACTTGAAAAAGCCTGAATGTTGAAATCCTATAAGTATATTTTCCTGATTCTTGAAACCACTGGTGAGCTTGTAAGATCTGGTTAATTGTTCGTTAATGTCCCCCCCCAAAAAAGCTAAAAACATATAAGAATAAATTTAAAATGTTTGATACTGCCCTTTTATTTTACTCACAACGCATTCATTCTCACAAGTGCTTGGGGCATTTTTTTTTCCCTCCAGCTGCCTTCACACAATGGAACAGTTCTCTTCAACAGATTGGCCAACCAGGCTAAATTAAAAAAAAAAATCCAGTCCTGAATCCTTCTTCATAAATATGCAACCACAGGTTGCTTATGCAGATGCCAAACATGAGCAACCAATGGGTTTTTCTATGAGGGAGAATCATTACGGTGAGATTGCCCTAAGGAAGTTGTGCTCAGGCAGCCTACTAAAACTAGGATGGCTTTACAGCAACCTGCTTGAGGGATGGACCCTCTTTGAAGTTGTTTTCTGGGATGAAAATATGTAATTTGGCTATTCATAAAATCCAAGACAATAATAACATTATATGGCTTCTACAGAAAGAGTGTGGATTCCAAATACATGAAACTATTAAGAAAGACTAAACATACGTTTGTGCAGAACGGAGATCTGATCAGTAACAGCCTTGTCCCTAAATGTCAACACTTTTATTTCAGTGAGATTCTGACTTCAAATTTAATTAACAATGGGAAATAAATGAAATTACAATCAAATCACACCTTGGTCCCACTGGTATCAAAAAAGAAAAAAAGAAGTGCATGCTTCAACCATTAACCTGAAATCAATAGGCCTTAAAATTTTAACTATAGATGGATTGTGCCTGGAAGCATGCACTTGAGGAAAAGTGAGAAGCAATTGCCCTATTGATTACTCCGGGTCATTTTTACTGATCATTTCTGTCAAGGATTATAATCCAGAAAGTTAGAAAAAAAGTATTATTTATCTCCACAATGCAGCTGTTGGACCTACCACTGCAACATTTAGTACAGTACAGTAAGATACAATAGTAACAGCTTGCATTCACAACAAATATTGTACGGATATTGCACATCGATGGATGTGGCTTTTTTTTCAAACAAGATGAGAGAATGTTAACTATATTCTATATATCTTTATATATTATATTGTTTTATTTTTCCAGTTATATATAAATTTAAATATTAAATATCCAGTATTAAATCAAGGAAATTGCACAAATATAGGTCTCATCCTGTAAATCACACACATACATACAATCGTACACCCACACATACAAGCCATGATTTTAAACTGGGGGGGATAACTCATTAGAATGTTGAGTTTGAAGGATCAAAGCAATCCTTATTGAAAAATAGCTCTAAAAATGAAATTTTCTTTGTTATGTTAGGTTTCTGAAACAATTGGTCCCAAATTATACAATTCTTCCATTGTAGGAATATGGATTCAATATTTACTCAGATGAATAAAGACTATTTCCAGTTGTTTTTTGTTTTGTTTTCTTTTCTTCTAGTATGGAAAAGCTATGAAAATAAGTCACATAGGCAAAGTAGGAAAATAGGTCCAATTCTACAGAGAGTAGTTGGAATGGAAACACTGGTTCACATTTCCAAAGGGTTTCAATTGGGGAGCCCCCAGCAAGGTTTCATTGGCTACCCCCATTTTCTGCATTGCTTCAGCCAGAACCGAAGAGCAGACAATGAACTGAAGCACATACTGCACGACTTACATTATACCAGTGCTACTGTGAGATGATGCACAAGATGTACAATGGGGCAATCAAATCTGGAACATTAATGATTGCAGCACTCCTGCATTTGTCTTGCTTTTTTTAAAACAAACACACTGAAGAGCAAGTTACAGACAAGTCTCACGATCCACACCTTTCCCTGAGTCAGCTTTCTTCTCTTGTCGGCCTTCAGTGCTAGTTGGGGAAGAAGAGAGAAAGAAATAAGTTGTGCAGTTGTGTTTCCACAATGCATCACTTTGGGGACTGAGTAAATGAAGCAGCTCTCTGTTCCCCCCTCCTTCTGCCCCCACGCTATCAGCCTACTGTACGCTCTCATGCTATACTGATCAGTCTGGGACACAAGAACAGAAATGGTTCTGCTGTATGTGGATTATGATTACAAAGAAAACTGTCAACATCACAGATAAATAAGGAAGGAGGCCACAGAGATATTTAAAAAAAACCTGACATATAAATCTGCATGCACAAAGACAAAAAAAAAAAAAGATACAATACATTGCATGGGGGCAAACAGTAATGAAAATGTCTCTTGCAAATAACAACTGACAAGGTATTTTAATTGCAGAAACAAGAGAATGTCATCCAATTTATTTGCCATATTTATTATTATTGTTGGGGGTGTTCTTTTTATTATCATGACCATTGACAGAAAGATTGGATCGAAAGTGTCAATCCATCAATAAGTACATGTGCAATAATGCTCTTTCTTTTAGTAATGTTATTTGATTGCAACATCAAGAAAAAAACATACTGTTGGGGAGAAAATGAGAAAAAATAGATGTGCAATATTTACAACACAACATAATAGGAAGTTCTACTTGAAAGTTTATTTATTCTATATTTGCATAATAAATTGCATAATTCAAGCCTACTGTTAGGATATGGAATGTAGTAGCTGGAACAGTAAAGTGTACAATAGGTCAGAACACACAGTTGTAGTTGATTAGTTTGTGAGTGCTGACTCATGCATGAGGCAATCTACACTACGATTGGTTGATGTAAGTATAAAGGGCGAGTTTCCCGTATTTTCCCTTCTTTTTTCTTCTCTGTGTTCTGCATACTGTTTAGTTTACTTCATGATGTTCTTGTCTTCCTGACTATCTTATGTTCTTTCTTTCTGGATGATGACAAAGATTGCTGTAAGTAAATGTTAAATATATTTATATATATAAAAGACTACAAGTTTGTGTTAGTGTCTCCAACTTCATCTGGACAGCTGCCGCACAATTCCATGACACCTGCTCTATCATTTGCTTCTATAAATCAAGAAATGTATAATATCATTTTCTGGTGTTCATGCATTTATTCATGCTCTGCTGAAAAGCATTTATTCTGCACAGCTCTTCCAGGCAAATGATGAAATTTTGGTCCCCATCTCCTCTCATACCTTCTTTAATCAGAATTTTTTCAACCACATATTCAAAATAGATCTTTTTCTATGCAGATGCTTGCAAAATAGTCATCATTCTTATTCTATTCATAGTCAAATGGTGCAATAATTATTTCTGCATTACCTTGCCTTGGCTCCAACCATCCATTTATGTCACTTAACAGAATACTTCTTCTCCCCGGCTTCCGGTTTTGCACAGTAGTGCAGCAGCTGAGGGATTGCGGGGCTCTGCACCCTACGGCTGATTTTTTTTCCTGTTAGGGGACCCTAAATGGGCCTAAAGTCACCCATAGAGGCAACAAAGAAGGAGGGGAGCCCTGCCGACTGCAGAGAGATGGCTGTCAATCCGGTCATTCAGGAAAAACCCTCCAGAAACCAGCAGAAGAAAGACTAGCTTCACTCCAGAGTGTAGCCCAAGCTACAAGCAGCCGAAGCCAAAAAGCACTAATTTAAGCTTGATCATAAACAACGTGTTTGGAACTGGGTAAGAATATTGATTCTCTCTCTTCTACTTAATAATTGATTTCCTGGAAAAAAAAACCAAGAAGCAAAAATCCTCCGAAAGTGAGAAGGAGGGGGACCCTTGCCCCACTCTCCCACAGAAGAAAGTGGCGAATTAAACTTTTATGAGGGACAGAAATATATTGAAATGAAATTAATATAAGATTTAAATCTGGATGTTTGAAATTGGTGGAATTTATTAAGATTTTCTTTTCAAAAGATTACTAATGAAAACAGAAAAAAGTAATTGCTTGCTTTGAAAACTGAAAAATGAACTGGTGCTGACATCTCGTGGTGGATGAAGATATACAACTGAAGTTGCTCTAATACAGGAATTGCAGAAAGCCCAGAAAAAGATAACTTGTTTTTGTGACCTTCAATGTCTTAACTAAACAGAGAATAGCTGTAACAAAGAAAAGAAAACATTTTGGGCTACCTACAAGGCGAGAACTATAAACCTTAGGAAAAAAAATGACCTTCCTGGATTATAAATACTTATTGAACTGTGACTCTAAAGCTGTTTGCAGAGAAAGGAAAACTTTGGTTTTTGGTCATCATGGAACATCAGAGATCTGCAGAAAGAACATATCAAGAAAAAAAGAAATACTTTCCAGGAGGAAATGTATGCTATGTTGCAACTAATTCAAATGACAATGATTTCAAACCACGAGGAAATTAAAAACAATATAAATGAACACAACTTCAATTTAACCTTATAACCAAAAAACCTCTCAGAAAATAAAAATAAAGAGTGATCAGATAAAACAGACAACTGAATATAAACCAGAGGAAAGAGATTTAAAGATGGAACCCAACAATGGAAGGAATTATGATTTAACCCAGGTGGAGAAAAACTTGCAGGAAATATCAGACATGGAAAAGATAACCTACAGTTTAAGACTGCAAAATATGTCTGAGGACAAGAAAAAAGATTCGACAAAATGAATTATAGAGGTGTCAGGAGAACTACGAGAACTGGGGAGACAAAAAATGATAAGAGAAATTAACAGAGAAAGAAAGAAAAAGATTTTCAATGAATACAAATACCCTCCCACAAAAACATCTTACTGGATTTGTCTCTTGTACTTATAACAATATCTACAAGACAACGGGAAGACTTTTTGGTCCAGCAGAGCATAAGATTAGGAAAAAAGTTTGCCCCCCCCCAAAAAAGGCTAAAGTTAGAATTAAGAAATTAGATGATGGGATTTATCAGACGGAATATCTAAAAATTAAACACTTGTTTGAATATGGTTAAAAAATAGGAAAATTCTGGATATAAATGTATTTTAGTTTAAGAGGGATGGGCCCCTCAAGTAACATAGTATTTTTTTATGATATGAGAAATATAAAAATATAGGGATGGTTTATATGAGGGAATTTTTTTAGATACTCAAGTGTAATTGAGCTTGAGAAAATCTCAATTAATAAAAATGTTCTGAATAGATTTAAAAGATTAGATGATTGGATTATTAGACGGAATACTTAAAGATTAAACATTTGTTTGAATATGGTTAAAAAGAATAGAAAATGTTTAGATATAAATGTATCTTAGCTTAAGAGGGACATGTTTCTCAAGTAGTATACTATTTCCTTTTTTCTTCTCTTTTTATTTTTTGTTGTTTTTTTAAGATATGAGAAATGTAAAATTGTTGGGATAGCTTGTATAAGGAAAAAGACTTAAATACTTAAGAGTAATTAACTCTGAGAAAATCTTAACTGGTAAGAATGTTTTGAACATTGCGGGGGAAACAAATCTAAATAAGAACTTTGAAAACAGGATCTATGAAGAGGTAATTAAGATGATCAATTAGAAAAGAAGCTTTATATTGACATGGTTGTTAAATACTAGAAAAAATTATATTCAATTGTTATCTATCAAAATACTAAAAAATGTACTAATTCAAGGTTGGTAAAAGAATATTACTGGAAGAAGAGAAAATCAAAGAAAGCTACTATGTGGATTGTGGAATTATAGAAATTATTAGGGTTAGAGTTAGGGTTAGATATAAACCGAGACAACACACTGTTTACCAAATATTAAGGTGACTATATTAAAAAAATCAATAAAATATATTTTAAAAAAAGAATACTTCTTCTCCTCCTCCAACATCCATTGCATAATTTCCACCAAATGAGAACTCAGGTCAGTCCATTACCATCATTCCCTGGCACGTAATACCACAATCCTAAACATTTATACAACTTCATAATAACCTAGATGATACCGATCCATACTTACTGGTATATAGTTTATCCCTTTTATTCTTTATCAAACTACAGCTTCATTTTTGTGCCTATATTCATCAACTCCAGTCTCCTAGATCAGGCCACTTTTATTTAATCTGCTCCATTTTATTCCTATTTTTCACTTTTTTATTCATATCTATTATTTCTTATTTCATTACATCATTAATTGTTTTTATCATTTGGTATTAGATCATACACAGTTAGCATTAGAACGGGCCCTAAATATTGACTTCTACTGCCTATCATGATTTTGATCATCTGAAGCTTTCACATAATACATTTTCATAAGATGAGACTGTATGGATTGTTACCAGTCTTTGCTGTACTTGTGCCACAAATATTGTTTCCTACTAACAATAAGGGCAGTAATGTAGAATTAGGCAGATTTTGGTCAGTATATTACTGGCACATCCAAGGCCCAGTTTCACCTTATCTAGGAATTAGATAATGTCTTGTAATCCAACATACAGTCTAACAACCAGGCCCTTCCAGAATCTAACAAGAGAAGGTGGGCTATTCACAGCACTCTACTACAGAAAGAACTCTACTATAGAAAGGAACGGCTGCTGGAATTGGGTATGTCTAGTTTAACGAAGAGAAGGACGAGGGGGGACATGATAGCAGTGTTCCAATATCTCAGGGGTGCCACAAAGAAGAGGGAGTCAAGCTATTTTCCAAAGCACCTGAAGGCAGGACAAGAAGCAACGGGTGGAAACTAACCAAAGAGAGAAGCAACCTAGAACTAAGGAGAAACTTCCTGACAGTTAGAACAATTAACCAGTGGAACAACCTGCCTCCAGAAGCGGTGAATGCTCCAACACTGGAAGTTTTTAAGAAGAGACTGGACAGCCATTTGTCTGAAATGGTATAGGGTTTCCTGCCTGAGCAGGGGGTTGGACTAGATGACCTCCAAGGTCCCTTCCAACTTCTTCTTCTTCTTCTTCTTCTTCTTCTTCTTCTTCTTCTTCTTCTTCTTCTTCTTCTTCTTCTTCTTCTTCTTCTTCTTCTTCTTCTTCTTCTTCTTCTTCTTCTTCTTCTTCTTATTATTATTATTATTATTATTATTATTATTATTATTATTATTATTCCTTTGGAAAGACTTGCTGTTCTGTTATTCTTCGGTTATCCTTGGTGTACAATCCAACTTCACCATTTCCTGTCAGCACAGTCTCTTCTCTTATTGCTGAAGCTTACAGAATAACAGAATAACAGAATTGGAAGGGACCTTGGAGGTCACCTAGTCCAACCTCCTGTTCAAGCAGAAAACCCTATATCATTTGAGATAAATTACTGTCCAATCTCTTGAGTGTTGGAGCACCCACAATTTCTGGAGGCAAGTTGTTACACTGATTAATTGTTCCAACTGTCAGGAAATTTCTCCTAAGCTATTAAAAACCAGTATGCACCCACTTAGAATAGGAAGACATTTGAGAGCTAATTGTTGCTTAACTAGGTGCCAAGCTACCCAAGGGATCTTTAAAATGTTACCCTAACTCATATATTCAGAAGCCAGAAAAATGGCAGGATGGTAGAGTAGTTTGAATCTTTCCTCCCACCTTGGCAAAGCAGGATGATGACAGTCTCCATCGAGGATCAAAACGACACAAAAGTTAGTTAGTGTGATTCTATCTTTCATCCAAGGTGGTCTTGGACCACAGCCACCCACCCAGAGTCTGGACAGACATCTGTTGGGGATTGGGGACTATTTTTCAGTCTACTTTCCAGACAGTTGCAGCAAGCCACATTGACATTAAAACATTGGATGGGAGATGAATATTGTTTTGGGATTACTTTATATAGAGAAGCAACCTAGAACTAAGGAGAAACTTCCTGACAGTTAGAACAATTAATCAGTGGAACAACCTGCCTCCAGAAGCTGTGAATGCTCCAATACTAGAAGTTTTTAAGGAGAGACTGGACAGCCATTTGTCTGAAATCGTATAGGATTTCCTGTCTGAGCAGGGGGTTGGACTAGATGACCTCCAAAGTCCCTTCCAACACCACCACCACCACCACCATCATCATCATCATGATGAATGGTGGTGGTGAAGGGAGGGAATGAAAGCAGTATGGCTCCCAGAGCTGCCTGCTTCTCTTCCCATCCTTAATTTTGGAAAAAAGAAACATGACTGCCCAAATACATTCTTCCCTTTATTTAAAAAACAAAACAGCAGTGATCATGCTGACTGCAGGAAGAGGCTGACTCTGGCCTGCAATTATGCTGTTGCAGCATCTCACCCTATGGAATGAATGAATGAATCTCAACCATGGACAGATTGTCTTGTTTATGCTGCTGAGGGAGAGGGAGACCATGGCAAAAGCAGCATGCCATTTTGGGGTGACAAAATACCAAGACCCAAGCTGGCATCTTTCATTCCTGCTACTTTACTAAAGTTAAGGAATGTGGCTAAAAGCAGTATCTCCTCCAAGTTGCATGTGTTGTAGTAGAACGAAGCTGGGTGCATCGGCACAGTTTTCCAAATGTGCTTTTCGTATCATTTTGAAATGTATTTTGTCCCCCCAAAATTTACACATAGTACGTTTGTAAAAATTTCAAAAGATACCAGACAGTAACGATCAAGACAAAGATTTGGGGAAAGGATCTTACCTTTGGGAAATCCGCTTCTAGAGATTAGGAAGGGGAGCTTATGGTAGGAATGTGATAATGGAACAATCAAGTAGAAAATCATGTTAATTCAGAATTAATAGTAACTGAGGGAACAGTAATTAAACAAGATTGCACTCAACACTCTACACCAGTGTTTTTCAACCTTGACAATTTTAAGGCATGTGGACTTCAACTCCCAGAATTCCACAGCCAGCAATTCTGGGAGTTGAAGTCCACATGCCTTAAAATTGTCAAGGTTGAGAAACACTGCTCTACACAGAGATTATCACACAAATAAACCTGCCTTTTTTTTTTCCAGAGGCCCAGCAGCCTTGGAAGATGGAAAAGGTGAGAGAGGGCCACTTAGCCCACACCCTCCATATTCTGATCTCTCAGAAGTAAGCTACTTGAAGTCATCTTCTTAAGGGAAGGACCATTTTCAATTGTTACATATATGCATATTACATTTGCATTTATAATATTTTATTCAGACAGGAAAGTCTGCTTTTTTTTTTTTTTTTAGCTCTTTTCTACCTGTCATTTCTACCCTCTGGAACACAGTGTAATTTTTTTTTAAAAAAAAAAAAGTGCCATTATTTGCCTCCCTTCACTCCCCTCCCTCCTGCTTTCCTCTGTATTATAGCCATTAGATTATAAACCTGAAGGAAGAAACCATTTGATGCTTTTGTTTTTTTAAAAAAACATCATCTGTAAAGCCCTTCCCTATCAGGTTACACCAGAAAATAGATCAATTCTGGTTGATATGAGAATCAGCTTATATCCACCGGAATCTCTGTAGCATCCAGTGATTCAGCTCAGTTTTAAAAGAGATGATGACAGGAGAGGCTAAGCAGACCCATCATAATAAATACGGCAAGAAGTTCTATGGCATTATTAGCCCAAGTCTCTGATGCTAGTTTTAAGAGTTTACAAAGGCTATCAAATGCCTGCTGCTGTACTATAATTTTATTGAAAGAAACAAGCTCTTTTTGTGAGACAAGAACATCAGGAAAGAAGAAAGGACAGAATGGAGAATGCATCTGAGAAGTGTGCTAAGCCTTCTGTTGTGTAGTTTTAAAAAGAAAGAGATCTACCGACGAGAGATTGCTTATATCCAACCTCTAGTATGATAATTTCCATATGGAGGACTCTGTCTGTGCCCAAGGGATTGTACTGATCCTCAAGGTGATTCTAGTTACCTTGATGATTTACGCTAGTCCAAACAAACTAGCGCGATCCATGTGTGTGGCACAGCAGCTGTATTGTCCAGAGTTTTCTATGCCAGGGAGCCTACATGTGATCTTCAATATGATTGCTTCTGAAAAGATCCCTGTTCTCAATCCAAGGAGCTCCAGTGCAAATAACCACTTGGCCTCAACAGAGAGGGGAAATAGGGTGGAAATATTTACCTGAGCTTCTTTCTAGCTTATGGTATTCTGGAGGAAAGCAAGGTTAGCCAATATGATCCCTGAACAGAGGCACTTTTTCAAGGGGGCAAAGATGCATTACAATATTTTGTTATAGGCTCCATTTCTATATTCTAGAAATTCTTTTGGAATGCTCACAGTTTTGGGGAAGAAAGGAACAAATCCCAAGTTATACATACCAAGGTCTGTAAATTTTTTTTTACTGAAACTAACTGTAGGCAACTATTAATATCAAGATGTTGCCAAACTAGAATTTGCAGGATGTCACTGGCCATCTTGACTAAGGTTGCTTGAAGATGCTGGTCAGCAATGTCTGAAAGGCCACAAAGTGACCACCGCTATTATAGAAGCTGCATGTTGGTGCAATAGCTTAGTGCGTACATATTTATGCTGCACTTTTATAGATCTTCCTTCAGATGACTTTATATTATTCATACTTTGGAGTTCCCCCCCAAAATCAATTGAATGCATTCACAATCACATTATGTAAATCTAAGTAATAAATTTGCTGAGCAAAGCAAATACTTAACCCTCCGCTAGCATAAATTATGAAATAATCTGTTCAGCTCAATTTGCTGATTCAGTCAACCAACCCCACTTTAAAAAATGTATAAAAATATTTAAAAACCTTTAGTAGGAAAGCTGGACTCCTTGTCCTTGGCATTTTCTGACGATATCAACAGTGTCTTCCATACAGCTGTTTTTGCCATCTCATCAGAAATATTTATTACAGATGGGTCATCTCTGGAATAAAATCGGCATGCTCAGAGTTACAATCAAACTGCTGAATGTTATCATTTAAAAGTGTTTCAAGCGAGAAGAAGTGTGTCAATCTGTTTAAGGTATTCATTCAAATTACCTGCTAAATTGTGTGAAACTTTAAGTGGGCAATTTATTTCGAAGGAGGTTCAGCCAAAGCACTCTTCAAGTTGAAACTGAATTGAATTATCTGCCTTCCAATCAGTTTGGAGTGATTCAGTTGCAAACTGAAGATGTAATGGATTTCCCGACTGAGTTAAGAAAGTGGCAACAGCATTCAATGATTATTTCTCACCCTATTGGTGCCACCTTCATTCAAGCACCTATTTTCCTGGTTAACATGAAGGCTCAGGAAAAGGTGGTTTCTTTCAGGAGTCACCAACAGTAAATGTGTGCATACTCACATCACCTCTGAATTTCCTTTCCCACTTCAGATTTGAGTGGCTGTGAACCATTAGGAAGAGCTACCCCTCAATGACAAAGGATCTGCAAAAGCCCCAGCTAGATCCCTGGCATCTCCGAGGCTTCTGGCTGAGAGCCACGCAGAGCCACTATGGGCAATAAGGAAGTAGAAAGAGGCCAGCTCTGGAATTAAGGCAGTTTCCTTGTTGAGCTAGAAATGATCCAGCCTTACCTTATATAGACCAGTAGGCAGGCGGGCCCTTTTAAAGGTTTAGCTCCAAATACGAACCAAACCAGAAATGAGCTGGGAGACATACAATCAATGTCTACTTTTTAATTTTGCAGCAGTGTTATCATTATCATAATCAAAGGAGATGCAAAGGTTTTCTTCTAGCAGGGAATGAAGGCTGCGGGTTTTTTTCAATAGAAATCACAGAATTTGGTTTGAATCCTGCTAGATAAAGAGGGAAAATAGTTTTTTATAGCTTTAATAGGGGTTTAACTGGAAAAATGGGATGGGGAAAATAGTTAAATACATTAATTCTCAATCCAATTATGAAATAACTGCATTGCATCTCTTTGGGTTCTAAAGCACCAAGAGAAGCCAAAATTCAGTTCCTAACTGACAGGGAACACAATTAGCTCTGAGTAGTTTACCTGCAGTGTCCTTCAAGTGGCAACTGGACTGTTCCTTCCTCTTCCATTGCTAACATACTTTGTTCCTCCTAAGACAAAAGAAGTTGACCAACAAATTATTGCTACCATATTGCAATTTTCAGATCAAATCCCTTTCCCTTAAAAAGAGCATAATTTCTTCACTTCTTTTTCATCCAAAAGCTTTTTTTTATAAAAAAACAAATGTTCTGAGAAAATCAAATGTCGTTTCAGTGATATTTCTCATTCATAAATCCTCTTAGAAATTGTAGGTGCCAGAAGTTAGGCATTTGCTCTCCCCTGCCAATTTTGGTGTACAAATCAGGATTAGAAAGTGAGGAAGGAAAATAAAAATTATGAAATGAGAGAGGGGGGAGGAGGGAGGGAGGGAAGGAGGGAGAGAGATGAGAGAAGATGATGATAGATAGATAGATAGATAGATAGATAGATAGATAGATAGACAGACACACAGACAGACAGACAGACAGATGATAGATATAGACAGACAGATGATATAGAGAGACAGGTATAGATAGAAGATACTGTAGATATTTGCAGTACTTCTCTCTTGCTTTGTGTATAATTTCTATTCATTTCAATAGAATAGCACAATTTCATTTTGGGAACATTCTGTATCTTCTTTCATTTCATTTCTTTCATATTATTCTTCTCCGCTGTCAAACAATTCAGCTCAACCAAACAATACTGATTCCCTTGCCCTGGTTTTGCCCATTGGCGGAAAGCTTAAACCAATTATGGAGTCCTTGGTGCTTGGTTGTTTTCTTGCAGACATTTCATTATCAAATTAAGTAACATCATCAGTCTGCAAGCAAGAAAACAACCAAGCTCAGAGAGTACCAACGACTCTACAATTCAACCTTAAAATTCAGTCATCTGGCATTAGTCTTATACTCTTAAGTGAAGAGAGGGCAACAGGTAACCCTAATAGTAATTGCACTAAAATAAAATTTGGCACCTTTGCTAGATGTTTCCATTCAAAGAACAGATTTTTTGATAATTTTTAGGCTTTTTTTCTCAACCTGCTGGACAAGTAGCCAGTAGAGGTATTATTAGCTCAAGGGTCATAATTGATAAAAGAAATTCTACAGTGATACTCTCAGTTTGTCAACTATTATTCCCCATGATTTGGAAATGTTACTTCTCTAGATGCAACCTAAAATTGCACTTGCCTTTAAAAAGAACAAGTTTATTTATAAACATAGAACCGTGGGGAAAGGCAACACTAGAAACTGGCATTTAAATGTGGTCAAGGTATAAAAATGGCCATACAGATTCGTAACAACAAATCTATTTTTACTCCATGTTCTAAGTACACCTTTCCAAGTAATGGTGACCTGAATATTGTGTGGGCAGAGGGAGAATTTGGAACAAAAAAATGGAACAAATACATTTAAATGACTACATCAACATAAACAATACAAATTAATAAGTGTCCCACTTACGTCAATGGGAATTAAATAAAACTAACCGCTAACCCATTATGATGAGGAACTGTTGAGATAACAGGATTTCCTCTTTTTTGGATGCATGTGTGCATCAAATTTAATTTCAATTAGGAATATCACATTAATCCATGACAAAATAAGTGACTGAGGATAAATATTGTTTCCCACCTTGATGCTTAATGGTTACTATTAATGGAAATTTAATGTTATATTGAAGATCAAGCCACAAAATGAAAATCTTGATCCAGTCAAATCAGACTTTTAAAAACATCTTGTCAACTTCGTTTCTATCTGTATGGAGAACAGATTTCTATTTTTAAAGCCAGCATAATGGTGTCTTTCCAATTAAATTCCAGAGGCTCCATGTCAAATTTTTTATTTCTAGTTAATTTTGTCATTTCTGAGCTTCACAGCTTCCCAGGATTTTGACAGCTGAACAGGTTTAATAATAGCCTCAAATATTTAGTAATGCCATAACATGTAAAAATAGGGGCTCAAAAAATATAGCAAAAAAATGCTTATTTCTATTTTGCTTTCTGCCATCATTCATATTTCTAAAAAGAAAGTGCAACATAGAAAGCAAATCAAACCAAAAAGAATGCATCTCTGTTCAAGCCAAAGAAATATCTTGTCTACATTTGACACTTCTCACTGTAAGAGACAGAACATATCACTTCAGCCGGACACAGGTATATGATTCAATTATTTCTCTAAAGAAAAGTTGGGTAAAAGAAATCTAAGAGCAGGCAAATACATATTGATAAATCTTTGTATTCCTTTTCCAAGCTGCAGAAATCTGGACAAGCATTAGATGGCAGCAAAGAGTTGGAACAATCGAAGAGTCATAGGGATTTTTGCAGCCAAAAAACTCATGCCGACTTTCCAATTTCTTATGCACAAACCTGCACTATTTCAGAGAATTACTGAGCATAGACATTGATATCTTAATGATTCCTAGAAATAACTTAAGTTTGGGTGGATTGTATCTGTAATTATTTCATTCAGTACTTCATATTTAAACCAGAGCTTTGGCTACTCCACGTGGAAATATACTTCCTATTTGCATGAAAAATGTACCAAGAGGTTCTATCAACCAAACCAAAAGTCTTGGGGTCATACTTATGTAAAAAATGACACACAAATTCCCTCTTAGTGAATTGGCCACCTTTATCTGCACCATTGTGTGTTAGATTTGCTGCTTCAAAATAGAATTTTAATAAGCTTAGTCAATAATATTGTAGAAGGAACAAAGAGACAAAGACAGAAAAGATTTTGTAAGCATTACCTCTTTTTCAGCATCTTCAAGTTTTTTTTTCTTGCTCTCAGGCATCAGATCATCCAGCCAGCTTAACTCACGTTTGGTGAAAAAGAAGTCCATGAGTTTTCTGACAAACACCAATGCCAAGACCTAATCCAAATATTTATACTATGGTAAGATTATTGACAGGCACAGATGACACATTTATTCTTAGAAGGAGAAAGTCAAAGTCTACAGTTCTAAAATTGTTTTGCAAAATTCCCTCAAGCATCACCAATAATTTACTGCTATAAGCATGCAAGTAATTTATCTGAGTTACAGTATAGATCAGTGATGGCAAACCTTTTAGAGGCCAAGTGCCGAAACTGCAACCCAAAACCCACTTATGTATCGCCGGGTGCCGGATGGGCATAGCCCACTGGGTGGGCGTGGCTACGATGGTCATGGCAGACTGAGTGGGCGTGGCCAGGGTGGGTGTGGCCAGCTCAATGTTGCTCCTGGGAAGGGATGCCTGTGGCGGCCAGGCAGGGTTGGAGGAGATCCAGGGGGTCTCTGACGGGTGGGGCAGTGGGCAGGAGGGCGTCTTGCTTAGCTGATGGCTGGGGGGGGGAGGGACAGCTACACCCCCTCCCAAACGCTGCCCTCTCACAAAAGCAGGATGAAAACTCCAAAAAGCGACAAGGAAAAAAAGTTAAAACAGAAGAGTGTCTTGCGATGGTTTTCTTCCCCACTTCCTTCTAGCTGCAGTTTAAATATATAAAGACCACAAAAGAAAAAACTTGGTTTTCTCTCGTTTTAATTCAGAAGGCAGGAACTGGAGGATTGGGGGGGTTGTTTGTTTCAAAGGAAGGGAAAGAGAGGGACTGGGAGAGTGTGGCAGACAAATGGCGATGGCACAAGGCTTCTGGCTATGCAAGGGGGCGTTGGGGGTGCGTACTCTTTAAAAGAGCAAAACGAGGCAAAAAATAAAAATCCTCCACTCCACCTCCCAAAAACACAATAATAGAGCTTTCAATGATACAAACAGTCCTTGGAGGCCATCTGGGTGGGCTCACTGCCCTCCAACACTTGCCAGAGCCTCTTAATCGCAGAACATTGGGCAGGGGGGTCCCTCCTCTTGAGTCAGTGTGTGTGTGTGTGTCTTCCAACCCAGACTTGGCCTGCAGAGCGGGTGGCATTTCCTAAGACCACCCCCCCTTGGATCCCCAGCATCCTGCTCTCCCCCCTCCCTGGACTGCCATTTGTCAGAAATGGTGCTTGAGCGGTGTGTATGTGTGTTGGGGAGCTGGACTAGAAAAATCAGAGGTCCCCAATCTTTTGGGCACCAGGGCCTGGTTCCACGGAGAGAGGTTTTTCTGTGGACTGGAGGGTGTGTGGTTTTGTGTGCTGCCTGCATCCCATGGATGGGGCTTTGCTTGTTTGCACAGACTGGTTGCTGGCATGTTGCGGCCTGGTAATGGTCCACGGACCAGGGGTTGGGGACCCCGGATTAGATGACCCTTCCAACTCTTTTATTCTAATTCCCCCCCCCATGCCCGTCCAATGCCCAGCAGCTGCTGCCAAGGTGGCTCATCTCCTTCCTTTGGGGAGAAAGGTGGCCAGCATGCCCTGGGGACCAAGGGGAATTGGGGAGGCACAGGGGGAGGCTCCTGAGCCCCTCAGCTCTTCCAAGGGGGGAGAAGGAGAGTGGGGAGGGGTTGTGCTGGGAACGGGGCTCCTCATGCCCTCTGCTGCCCACCTGCACTCTTCCGCTGCAGATGCCGCAGTTCCACTTGCCTGGCACAGCAGGGGCACACTCACTCATACGGATGCATGTGAGGCTGCTGCCTCACTTGCCATACTGTGCCGTGCCATGCTGGGGCTGGGCTAGGTGCAGAGCCTCCTCACCGCTTCTTCCCCATGGACATTGGGAGAGCCCAGGGCAGCTACCACCATCTGGCACTCTCTAGCTTGTTGCCGGCCAGCTGGACATGCTGAGCTCAGACCTCAGGCAGATGAGGCCAAAGGGGAGTGAGAGCCGCGGCTGCCCAGCTCCTCCACCTGAAGACGCATGGGAGAGGGGTGCCACCCGGCTCAGTAAGCCGTGGTCCGCCTGCAGAAGGAGGAGGGCTGGCCAGGGACGGGCTGATGGCAGGCACAGCGCTGCCCATGGGGGGAATCTGACCTGGACAGGGGGAGACGCCGAGGGAGCCCAAAGGGAGAAAGGCGCGGTGTTCGGGGGTAGCTGTTCCCCCCTCCCCTTCCTCCTGCAGAAGGGCTGGCTGGCTTTGGTGTCATCTGGGCAGGCCTGGCCACGCATCTGCCCAGCGGCGCTGGCAGGCCTGTCCTTCCTTCCTTCCTTCCTTCCTTCCTTCCTTCCTTCCTTCCTTCCTTCCTTCCTTCCTTCTCCCTCCCCTCCTTCCTTCCTTCCTTCCTCCCTCTCTCTCTCTCTCTTTCCCTTCCTCCAAAGTCCAAACTCACGTGTCCTCCTTCCCCCGCTAGCCTTCTGCAAAGTGCAAATGGACGCCGTGTCCTACTTGTCTTCTCCAAACTCATGCCCACCATCGCTTCCAAAAGCCATCTGCTCACTCACTCACTTGCTCTCTCACTGCACTCCCGCCAAAACCTGCTCCTTTTATAGGTTCCCTTCTCCCCGCCCAGTTCTCACAGCTGTTCCCACGAGAGTACTGCTGGATTCGGTTTCCCTGCCCTCTCCAGTTCCTACTAGTCAAGCGCATGTGGAGAGGGGGGAGCATCCCTCTGGCGTGCGTGCCAACGGAAAGGGCTCTGCATGCCATAGGTTCGCCCCCACGGTTATAGGATGAAGTTGGTATGATATGTAAGAGAAATGTTATCCTTTCACTATGGAAAAGAAGTCAGTAATAATCACGTCCATGCTCAAAACGACTACTGTCCCTTAAAGACAACATTGAATCTTATATGAATATAGAAATATTAGATTCATACCATCATTGGAAATACAATGGCAGCTTTGGAAACTTTAATAACCCATAGTAACACAAGACAGCTCAGCTGGATTACTGTGAAGAGATGGACTTTTCGAAGGGGAACATGCCTTAGGTAGATGAAGTCTGGCTGGTGTTTGGCAGGCATCCAGAATAACTTGATTCTGTCAAAAAGCTAACAAAGGACAAACTAATTGTTTATATTTTGGGAAAGACATTACTTTAGAGATGTTCAAATGAAATGTTTGGAGAACAAGGCAACTACTATAACAAAAGCTTGTCCATTGCCTGCCATTGCTTATGAATTTGCATGATTTCCCCATCTCTGTGATTCTTGATTCCTGAATTAATCTTACTTTTGTCTCTAATTCAGAAACTTTTTTAGAAGTACTAGTATATCTGAGAATGTCTTTACCAGAGTAAGATAGAAATAATTCAGAAATAATCTACTTGTGATCTGCATTTAAATTCCATTCTTTCAATACACAACTGAATTTTTAAATAACAAATAAAATCTACATAAAACAGCCCTCCTACAAATCATTTCCTCCCAGATGTGTTAAAATTAAGCTACCATCATTCTTCATCTAACAAGGCCTTTGACTCTTCACTGCGGATAATGGAAAGTTCAAATCCAATATATCCAAAGGGCCCTAAATTGGGGAAAACAGTTGAAATCCATGAGTACAAACAACTGTAATAAAATAATCAGTGGTGGGATTCAGCCAGTTCGCACCAGTTCAGCAGAACCGATAGTTAATTTTTTGTTGCCTGGGCCCAGAATGGACTTCCAGAGGTGGCATCCACACAGAGAACCGGTTGTTCACATATTTGAATTCCACCACTGAAAATAATTTGGCGGCAGCCATTCCAGCCATTTCCGGAACTCAGGGATGGCATAGAGAATTTTTTTTTCCTCACTGACTGTTGAAGATTGACTTATTTGCCTGAGGGAGAGGAAATGGCCATTTTCAAGGTTGCCTACCCCTGAGCTATAGTGTCTCTAAGTTTCCCAAGCAGGAAACACATGGTGAAAAGGGATGGGAAAGGAAACAGGATCATAGGCCCAGTAATATGTCAGATGCAAGCTATAATTCTGGCAGTCTAGAGATATGACTCAGAGTTTTGCTACCAATGCTGAAGTTTAATCGCCTCTTTGTATGTAGGTTGCGCTTTTTTCACATTTGTGTCCAATTTAATAATGCATAGCAAGCAATAATAACTTGGTTGTGTTGACCATGGCAACAAAAGAGACAGGAACATAAATATTTCACATCATCCACTTTACCTGAATTCCTTTGAGAGAAGAGGCACCCATGTAAAGAAATACACCATAAAGTACTGGCATGGGAATAAACTGCAAAGAGTAGAAGGAAAATGTATATCGTCTCAGTAAATTGGTAGTGACAGGAGGCATGAAAAAATGAAGAACCTGGGCAATTTATTTATTTATACTGTACTTTTCTATCAAGATCTCACAGAAGAGCAGACAAAAGGTGACACTGTCTATCTTTATAGATGATGTTTCATTGCTGTAACCTCAGCTTGCAGGGTTCGTATGCTGAACTATATTGTATTGGGTTTTGGCTTAAGTTAATGCATGAAATTGTGAATTACAATTTGTGACTTTAGCAGGTTTCTCAATAAACCACAGTTAAAATACTATGTGAGCCCAGCCATAGAGTTGGGCAGCTTATAAATGTAAATACATACACACATACATACATACATTACATACATTACATAAAATGTTTTTCCAAAATGTTTGACTTCATCTTGCTTCAAATTCAGCTTTATTCACAAAAGGAAAAATTTCTCTTGAAATTCTATCATGCCCAGCAGAGTCTTTCCACTCAAATAGAATAGATTTTTTAAAATGAGCTGCTGGTCAGATGTTAGAAGAGGAAAAAAAGAGCTTATCTTAATAATCCTCTGAATTTGGCCATATCTTTTGTGTATTAAATGAAATGCCAATTTATTACATCGTTATTGAAATGTTAAAAGATTCTATATGGCACAGGGAACTTGAGTTACCATTACTAGAATTATTCAAATTATTACTGAATGGGTATTATTCATATTGAATTAGTATTATAAAGATATGATAATATCTTTCTAGTCAAATATTTAATCTATGAAGCTCAAGTTTATCTGGATGGACAGCAGTTCTCCAGGATCTCATCCAGCTATCTTTCTAATAATTTGCAACCTAAAATCCTTTGTTTAAAATGGAAATGCCTAGCATTTGAACCCATGGACTTCCAGATCCAAAACATATGCTTTATTGTGAAATGGGCAAAAAAGTGCATCACAAAAGTATCATTTGTTTGTTTTAAAATAAGAACTCATGTGTTCCAAACTGACATCAGATGTACGTAAAGTGCAGTTCACTTTTAGTTTGGTTTTGTGAAGTGTATACTTACTTTAAGCACTCTGGTTAAAAAAACTGAGCTGCCCATAAGGATAAATATCATGAGCCCAGTGACCCGTTGCTCGCGAATGCCAAGAAATTTGGGCTGCTCTCCTGGAGCTGAACATTCAGATTCCAACTTTAAGCTGTTCACGTGAGAGATGGATAGAACAGTGGCAGCCACAAACCAAGGCAGGCCCATGATCGAACACACGCCAAGCATGAGGGCCACCATTAGCAAGTCCAAGTGATAGCCACAGCCTTTCTGTTAAAACAGAGGAGACAACGGACAAAGCTAGAAGGATAGGAGGCAACATCTACTTAGATAGTATATGAACCAACAGTTGCACTGAATAAATGTTTATATGCCAGTAAGCGAAAAGTACATGAAATTGTATTAAAGTTTCTCCTATCTTTTCCTCTTATAGTATATCAACTTTTCTCAATCTAATATCTTCTGTCCTAGATGGGATTCTGAGAGCTATAGTCCAATACATCTGGAAGGCATCGTATGGGAAAGATTCATAATCATACATAAGAACAGATGTATCTTCAGATGTATCTATATATTATTTGTCCAGGTGAGAAACCACAGCCCAATGCTTGATAAATTGTACTATTTCAAGGATGTTATTTTATTCCCATTTCTCATAATCTAATAACCTTAGATTAAAACCTTCAACTCTCTAGATGAGGGCTTTTCAACCTTTTCACCCATTGTACCTCTTTTAGGATATGGCAACATCCGAGTACCATCAGTCGCCTAGCAAGGTGTCAAAAACTTGATGACCAAAAAAAAAAAAAAAGGAAAAAAGTGATAAAGTACAGGTAGTCCTCGACTTACAACAGTTTGCTCAGTGACTGTTCGAAGTTACAATGGCACTGAAAAAAGTGCCCCCCAAGCCACAGCCGAGCAAGACAGTGCCCGGCGACGCTCTTCCTCCTGTCCGAGGTTTCCATTGTTGTGAGCATTTCTGTCAAGGATTGGCAGCCGGGGTGGGGTGGGGGGTGTTTGGTTTTTATTCCCCCAATCTGTTGGGTGGTTGCAGCAGGTTTTGGTCATTTCACATGACCCTGGAACACTGTGACCGTCATAAATATGAATCAGTAAATCACAAGACCCTGGAGATGCTGCAACATTCCAGCTGATCGGTGCTTCTTCTGGGCTCAGCAGAAACGTCAGGATCAGTGCTGCTTTCCAGCTGATTAGTGCTTCTTCAGGGCTCAGCAGAAGCACCAGGATCAGCCCCGAGCTCCAGCTGGAGACTGGCGTTTATCCTGGCGCTTCCACTGAGCCCTGACAGCCCTGCAGCTCCAGCCATCTCTCACTCAGGCTTGTGCAGTGCTGCCACTGGTTCAGCTCATTCCCCTCCTCCGCTACCACTTTTCTAGGATGGTCACATACCACCTGCCAGGTGCCAATGTACCACAGGTGGTATCCGTACCACTAGTTGAAAAGCCCTGCTCTAGATGCTAGCCAAGTTAGGCTATTGATGACAGAAATTGTAACCCAAATGATCCCGGAGACATTAATTTTGATAAGATTGTTTTATAGGATCACTGCTATTTATTTCTTCATATTCTGGTCTATAATGCAATTCAGAACAATGTCAGAGTTCACTAAGTGTGTTGGAAATAATTTCAAATTATATCTTCATACCTTTTGCATAAATGCTCCACCAGATAATATTTATGGAATAGCATCTATGCTGGAGCAGGTTTGCCTACTCATGCTAACAAAAAAAAAAACCCATCACCATTTCTGACATGCATTAACCCTCTTTTGCATCAATAAATATATTCTTCTCTCTACTGATAATCTGTAGTGAAAGATACAAAATACTTGTTTTTAAATGCTGTCAAGTAGACAATTTACATTTAAAAATACGCAGAAAGCCTGGAATTATAAAGTAAAAGGTTAAAATAACTTCAGTGGAGTTACTTTCCTACCTTTAGCTTATGTTCTTTTCTGTTTATAATAACAGCTGTAATTTGTTGGTCCATAAATATCAGAATGGTACAAAGAAGAGCTGGAATTAGAGCAGCTAGGATAGTCCACCAAGGATTGGGACCCAAGGGTGAGACAAACCAGCCACGGTCATCCCTGGTAGGCTAAAAGAATTCAAGCACACTTCAGACGGTTGAAACTTATTAAATCAAAACATCATTTGCCCTGTAAAAAAGGGCAAAATGTGCTATACATTATAAAACCAAAATGTTTTACATTAGGTTCAGACCATTATAATAGCACTGGTAATGGTTCAGAATTTTTTAAAAATAATCCCTACAAATTTCAAATGGGCATAGTGCTTATTCTTAAAATATAAAAAAGTGTTAAGGCAGGGGTCCCCAACTCTTGGTCACAGCATGCCAGCAACTGAAATACAAAACCACGCCCCCTCCAGTCCATGGAAAAACCTCTCTCCATGGAACCGGTCCCTGGTACCCTAAAGGTTGGGGACCTCTGTGTTAAGGAACATATTTAAAAAATCTATACAGGATTCTGCTGTTAATATTGCAAGGACTTTAGGGATTTAACATGGATACTGGAGCAGAGCAAGGAAGTCCTTACTAAGCTTAGTTAAGTAAAGCAACCAGAGCTTCATTTATCCTTTGAGTTTATTCTTAAATTCCTCCATTAAAAATGTGCTATACAAACTTCCTATTCCTGATTTTACAATCAAGTCCGGCATGAAATAGCTATCAGATGCATTGGTTGTAAGAAATGCCAGATTTTTGTGAGGTCTAGCATAACTTGATAAGCAATTACCTTAAAAACATTTGGAACCTGAAGTTTTGGTGATGGGATGCCAAGGAAATAGTCAACTATCACCATAGATAGGATGGTGAGAAAGACGGCAAAGTCACTTATCACAGACCGTACCTGTAAATATTAAGCCAATCATCACTAAGAATGCAAAGAGTTTTCAGAGATAAGCAGGAAGAAAAAGCAATACCAGGAGGGTTGTTACAGATTTCAACAATCTTACAGAGTAAGTGCTTCAAACTACCTGTGAGCACAGCACCTTTATTATTCTTTAAAGTCTTCTTTGTGAACCTAAAAAATGTGCAGCTGCTTTGACAATTCCTCAACACAGACAAGCGTCTCACACACACACATACACACAAACAGAGAGAGAGAGAGACATTATCTGTCTGGAGGCAGCAGTTTGGAAAGGCTGGTTAAAGACCCTTTGAAATACTTGAAGATTGAATTGTGAGAAAGCAGCAGCAGTAGATTTGGTATAATGCTGGCTACAAAGCAATCTGTAACTCTACAAGCCATAAAAAAGTTAGCACTAAACCACAGGATGCAGAAGCATTTGAGTTTTGGCTTCAGGTACTAATATGCTTTAAAGCTGCCTTGTTGTATTAAGAGATGCTATCCCTAAGGAGGACCTGACACTTAAAGCATGCTACATACAGGTACCCCTTGAACTTATGACGGACTCTCCAGGCGTACTTGCAACCAGTAACGTAGTTCTAATGACCGCTGCCCCTTGCGGTTATGTAACTGCACTTTGGATACTCAGCAACTGCCCTGCATTTACAGCCGTTTGCAAGATCCCATATTCACACATGACCGTGTTTTACATTTTTGCAGAAAACTGACATTTACTTTTCATTTCAGCAAAACCTGTTCATAGCGAACAACCGATTTGTCTAATGACCACAGCATTGGATCAATAACAGTAAAGCTGGGTGATTCGCATGACTGTAGGACATTGCTATATGTACATTTAAAATTTCTGCATTTGATTTATTTATTTTGCTGAAAGTTAATCCCTGCCCAGTTTGGGGGGGGAGGGGGGGGAAGGTTAAAACATACTTTCTCTCCTCCCGATTGCTATTCTCAGATATCAATGTCCCAACGATATTAAACTTCTTTAAAATGCTGCCCTGCCTTGTGGAACCAAGATGATACTAATCACAATTGAGTTAGAGGTAACTGTATCTGGCATCGTGTGCTTGCAATATTTCTTTCGTGATTTGATTACAAAAAATTAAATTACCTTGGTTGGGAAATACCGACTAGTCTTGAACTGCTTCAGTGTGGATGACAGTATGACTGTAGAAAAGAATAAGATGACTGACCAGAAGAGGACATCTGGAACATAAGGCCCATGATCAAGACAGGCTTCTCCAACGAACATCCCTTTCCAGTTATTACATTCCTGGCAGAGAAAGCAAAGGTATTGTTTCTGTTTGCTAACTGAGGCGTGCTGATGTGGGGGACTATAGCCCCTTTGTGACTTGTGGACTTCAACTCCTAGAATTCCTGAGCCAGCTATGCTGGCTCAGGAATTCTGGGAGTTGAAGTCCAAAAGTCATAAAAGGGTCATAGTTCCTAACCCGTTATAAAGAAACCAAAGACAGGACTTTACACTCCATGATCTTTCACTGTCACGGTCTAAAACCTAACACTGAAGGCTATTGTAGACACATATATATTATGTACAGACACTCTAATCTAGGAGTCTAGAACTGGGTCTGGACTTATATTGATAGTGCAATTGGTAGCAAGTTAATTCTGCTGCTAAAGAAGTTAGGAAAAATATTACGCCTTTTTATCCCTGCTGTCTGAAAATACTGGAGGAACATACATAATCATCAGCGCACTGATGATGTTACCTAGTTTGGTAAGGAAACGTCTGCAAGAAAAACACTAAACTCAGAGAACACCAAGGACCCCACAGATTAAATACCATAATTTTCCCTTGCTAATTCCGACTTGCAAGCACTGAAAGGGATTGTTTTTCACCCTTCACAGTACTGAGCCCAGAAGAAAAGGTGACTGCAATGGCAGATGCTACGTGAGGTCGGGTGTCCTCTTCAAATTTGCTGGTGCTTTCCCAGTAATTCTGAACCAACAACTTGGACTAGCTTAAGCACTTGCTTCCTGGAATCCTAAAGCTGAATTTAACAGCCGGGAAATTAGAGGCATCATTATATCTTTCCTTATTAGCTTTCCCTTTGTTTCTCTCTTCTTTGGCCCTTATATTCTGGCTCAATTAAAGCACACACAAAACTAGTCAAATGTTAAATCAGCTTCAGATGGTTATTTCAAAACAACTAATCTGGCTCAAAGCCATAATAGATTAACTATGGTTTAATGTAACTGTGGGAGATAGTGAGGAACAAAGAGAGGTTCAGACCTGATTGATATCACGTTTCATACCAGCCAGTGACTGTAGTCACATGAGGAATGTTACTAGAAGGTTCTGAGGTCTATTCTAACCTGGCACTTCCCCTCAATTTCTTAGCAATCATTATTTTACATTTTTGGTAGCAATATTTTTGTTCATTTTGTTTTGCTAAGGCAGGTCTTAGAAGAAATTATCTAAGTTTTAATAACAAACTTAAGGCAGGAAAAATTGGATAAAGTGCAAATTTAAAAATCTCAAAACTCAAAAATCAGTGTCAAGTAACTGGCTTGTAAAGACAATTTATGTGATGGGAAACATCAGATTACTATATAAACATTTAAATAATTTCTGGTAGTTTTTACTAGATAGGTCTTTCTGCTGCCACAAGGGGGCGATAGACTCCACACAACCACATGATGATCAAACTTGTCTGCCGAAATATTGGAATGCTCGTTCAAAAAGGTACACATTCCCAAGCTTTTCACGGTGCATTTCCTCTCCTTCTATGTGCAGAAACATTTTGTACAGGTAGTCTTCAATGTATGACCACAATTGAGCCCAAAATTTCTGTTGTAAAGTGAGTCCCCCCCATTTTATGACCTTACTTGTCATAGTTGTGAAGTGAATCTCGCTTTCCCACTGGAGCTGATAGTAATCCAGTTGTTAAGCGAATCTGGCTTTCCCATTGACTTTGCTTGTCAGAAGGTCACAAAAGGGGATCACATGACCTTGGGACATAGCAGCAGTCATAAATATAAACCAGTTGCCAAACATCTGAATTTTGATCACCTGACCAGGGGGATGGTGCAAAATTTGTTAACTGTGAAAAACAATCCTAAATCCTTTTTTTTCAGTACCACTGTAACTTTGAATGGTCACTAAATGAATTGTTATAACTCAGGACTACCTGTACAAACATATCCAGAATCATATTTCCACATCAAGCCCTGCAACACATAGCATGCTCAGTGGTTCACTGTAAATGTTTTAAAAGACCATTTAAATGAGACCTGCCAGCAATCTGCACTCTAGTCTATGTGGTTGTACTCTTTCCTGTGGCTGAACTGACAGATTAGTGGGAAATTGCCTAGACCAGGGGTAGGCAACCTTAGCTCTTTTATGACTCGTGGACTTCAACTCCCAGAATTCCTGAGCCAGCATGGCTCAGCTTGGAAACCTCTCCCTTTGCCCTCAGCATGGCTGGCTCAGGAATTCTGGGAGTTGAAGTCCACGAGTCATAAAGGAGCCAAGGTTGTCTACCCCTGGTCTAGACCAGGGGTGCCTAACCTGTGGGCTGTGGCCCACTACTGGGCTGTGGCCTCCTGGCCAGCGGGCTGCAGAATAGGCTGGCCAGTGCTTGCATGTGTGTGCGCACGCTCATCTCCACTCATGCTAGTGCCACTGCCGCTATGCAAACGGGGCACTGTGTGGCGAAAATGGGGTGCTGCGTGGTGAAAATGGGCACCACGCAGCAAAAACAGGGCGCTGCACGGCAAAAATGGGGCGGTGCTAGCGAGTGTCACACGGGCGCTAGCACTGCTCCATTTGCATTGCGTATGCTTGTGGCCCCATTTGTGCGTGCGCGCACGCGCGCCTAAAATGCTTCCCCCTCCCTTTCCCTCCGGTCCGCCAATTGAGAAAGGTTGGAGACCTCTGGCCTAGACTAGGTTTTCCCCTCTTAAACAGGGAAGGTAGTGGAGGAGAGAACATTTGGAAAGTGAAGTTTTTTGCAAAAAAAAAAAAGTTAGGATTAAATCAGAGAATTATGCACATCAGAAGACAGTCAGACTAGTCTTGTCTTCCAGGACATATATTTTTAGGAAACCAAATCATTCAGAGGTTAGAATGATCTTTAAATCAATTTTAGCTATTTAGCTATAGATCATAATTCATCATAAGAGATGTATTGGAAAGAAAATTTAAGAAAATTCTGTACATAGTCTGTTTTTATCCCTGTGGAGTGATACTGCTTATGCTGGGGCTCCTTTCATTTTATTTTTTGCTTTTCTAGGGATATTTGCATACATTTTACAACTCTTCTCTTAGTAAAATTCTCAGGCCACTCAGATTAATGCTATTCTTACTATTTACTGTCTAACCGGAATAACAAGCACCATCTATTTTGTCTGACTTGTCTTTGTTTATTTATTTCAAAAAGAAAACATAATGAGCATTACAAAAGCTATATCCAAAAACAAAAATTAACTGCAAATGAAAAGCCTACATAAAACTCAGAATAGATCCCGCGGCCAGTCATCTGGGACCCAAAATGTGGTGGAATAGAACCTCTTTAAGTTTAGAGAATTGAAACAAGGTGGGGCCTCCACAAATGCTTGGGAAGATTAGTCCAAAAAGTAGGGGCTACTAAACAGAAAGCAGGGTCAGTTTATCTTCTACTTTCTTCCCTTCCTGCTTGCTTTTGTTTTTATTCTTGTGCTATCTGTCTTATCAGGTTTCCTGGTTATCAACTGTAATAAAAAACATCATATTGATTTGCATTCATCATGCTGGTAAAAAAGAGTTTGTGTTTGTGACTACCCTACTACCTTATGGCCTACTGAAAATGCTATATGGATGGCAAGGGATTTTTCTAAACAGAATGAAATGAGGAACCAAGGGCAAATGTCAAAAGGCCCTCCCCCCCAGCTCAAAAATTAGATGGAAGTAAATTCTCTTCTGAGATCAGAATCTGCTTTTTCAGGGAATCCAATGAAATACACAAAGCCTCCTTTCCTAAAATAGATCACTATTATCTGTCTTCAGAACTGCTTGCATATCTGGTGGAAAGTGAAGGGGGCTTCTCCTCCTTTCCTTCATAGTGTGAACACTTTTTTAAAAAATAGTCAAGACAAATCTTCTTTTCCAGGGTTTGATTTGTTAATTGATTTTAGCATAAACTGCAATTCGTATTTTGAGACTTTTTATGCCTTTTATGTTTTATTTTTTGCCAATCATCTTGAATACTCAGTTGAATAGCAAGGAGAGAGAGAGAGAGAGAGAGAGAGAGAGAGAGAGAGAGAGAGAGAGAGAGAGAGAGAGAATGAATGAATGAATGAATGAATGAGTGAATGAACGAACGAACAAAGTAGTTTGCAGACTGGGGAGAATAGCCTGCCATTAGCCTCTGTATGCGACCCAGATGGGTTCTATATGTACACCTTGAATGCATTCACAATATGATTTGGTGGTGCACTTACAGTCACAGTAAGATTTGACCAAGGTATTTCAGATGAGGACATGTTTTTTGACTGCCAATATTGTAAGGTAGTATTGCTTGGGTTATCTGGTTCTACACAGCTGCATCTGAAAAACAAATCAATGGCTGATGTTATCTCAATTAGAAATGAACAATTTAATTCACCATTACTTTGTAAATTGTCTGGGGCAATCACATATAAATTAAAGTTGATTAAATAGCCCTTAATGATACCAAACATAATTTTCCAGTCCAGCAATGCAGCAATGGAATTGAATTGCTCCTGTATTGACTCTCCCCCTCTTCTCTTAAATGTTACATAGGGTGCTTGTTTTCATAGTATATGTCAACGTTGCTAACATTGGATGTTCCTGCTCTGATAACTGATGCTTTTCTTTACTTTTAGAATTCAGGTGCGGGGGGGGGGGGGTTTGGGATGTAAGCTCAGTAAGCCATAATAATAACACTGCCGTGGGAATTCAAGGACAAGCTGATAACGTTTTGGGCTGAGGAGCTGAGGAGAAAGCCCATGCTTGAAGCTAATTGGGGAATGTGTTTTATGACAGTTTATTGGGGGGGGGAATTATACTTTGTTACTTTGTATCAGGGGGAAGGGAATTTAGTTTTTGGGTTCAACTATGTAGTGCCGAAACTTTGTTTACCGAATAAATGTTCTTTAAGGAAGAATTTTGCCTCAAAGTTCTTTTGATGGGTTTCATCTATCGGAACCATGACAGTATATTCCAAAGTGGCATAGTGATTCATTTGTAAAAGCTCTCTATAAGATGAAATCTCTGCCTCAGCCCATTTTTTAAATTATTTATCCTTTATTTCTCCTTCTTATTATCTTTCTTACTCCCCCCCTCTTATTGGTATTATTATGATGATTATCATTATTCTGTTGCTTTGCATGTACACTGAGAACTTCTGCACCAGAGACAAATTTCTTGTGTGCCTAATCACACTTGGCCAAATAAAAGTATTTAATTCAATTCAATTTTCAGTCATTGCTCCACTTTGAAGAAAGATGATGAATCTCCAAAACATTTGTTTCTACTAGGTTCTCAAAAAAACAAAATTTTATTCTGTTCAAAAATAAACTTCATTACAGTCTAAATTGAGGAGGACTGCAGCACTGAAAAGGTTCTCCAAAAAAACAGGAGAGAATATATAACTCTGTTGTGAATAATTTTTGTACAGTCCAAATTCACACATTTTTAAAAGTGCACAAATACATATGCCTTCTTCAGTCACTAACAATTCTCTGCATTGAGAACTGGAATTCCTAGCTTAGTATGGCTGAAATCCTTTATATCATTACAATAATTACATTACAATTATTCAGTTTGAATTGTTCTCAAGAAAAGGATGCAAAGGAATAATAGCTGAAAAATATTCTGTTCCTATATCTTTTTTATAAATTTCCCATGGTAAAATTAATTGGTTGCTGGATTTGGTAATAATTTACTCTGCTTCAGTAGGGCTTCTTTATGTTACAGAAGCCTGGAAGCTTTGAAAGATCTATTTACAGATTTATGAATCAGCTGGTAAGGTTCCAAATAGTACAAACACAAACTCATAACAATAAGGCATAAGTTCTAAGATGGCGGCACCTGGATCGGCTGTGGTTGCATTGGCTCTCGAAGGTAAAAAGTTTTAGGAGAGATATAAGGGATATAGGCCCCATGATCGGAAAGGTTTTAATGTGATTGAGCAATGTGGTGGAACTAAGGTAACATACGACTGACAATCTTTGCTGGCATGGCGAGTTTCTAGCTGTTTTGGAACTGTTGGTGAGACTGTTAAAAAGTCATTGGTGCTGTTTGAAATTGTTCTGCCGGCAGCAAGATCTGAATGCTGGCCCAGCGATGGATTCTATTGCAAATTACAGCTGTTTCTAAAGGAAATGGTCGTAAGCGTAAAAAACGGTTGTATGTCAACATTACAAGTTGCCCACCAGTCCTAGAACCTGGATCCTCTTGTGTTACGCCATAATTCATTTTAGATAAAAGAGAACATTAATCCAGCCCTATGCTGTTTCTTCTGGCTTTCAGCGGATTATCTCAAGCAGCAAAATCTTTCTTTCAGAATATTAATCTTTATTTTATTTTTTAATACCAATCGGGGACTGAACCTGGGCATAAAAAGCCTCTGCTACTAAGCTTGATGGGGTTGCTAATATCAATTTTCATGATTGTCATTCGGGGATTTGTGGCAAAATTAAATGAAAAGGTTAGGGATAAACAGGAAAAGGGGATTATAAAATAAGGGATTGGGCTGGAAAAAAAAAGATCATACAGTGGGGTAATTCTGTTTGCAACTTAAAGCTCCATCAAAGTTTTTAGCATGTTTCAGGAACAAAACAGAGATTTTACTTTTGCCATTTAATTTGGAATGATATGCAACTGCACTGTGGAAAATAAAAATAATTTGCCCCCTGCTATGGGAAACAAATAGTATTGAAAAAGAGATTTGGACCAGTTTTATCAAAATGTGTGGACATGCACGGATATTCCACCTTGTCATACTGCAATATACTTTTCCTATTTCCCAGCTGCTGTTAAAGCTACATGTAAAAAATGAATTATGAAGCTAAATGAAAGAACTACAGAAGATGCCATGTAGGTTATCCAAGTGTTAAAAAAGCAACTCCAAAGCAACTGTGGATCCATGGAGGAAGATTATTCTATACAGTACATTGTCTCCCCCCCCCCCAAAAAAATGAAGAGACAAATGCTTCTTGGAAAGCAACCATCTAAAGCAGACAATAAGCTTTTCTATCCCAAACACACACACATACACACATAGATATTCACACATACAAATGTTATCTTCAGATCTAGAAAGTATTTTTGTTGTCTTGGGCAGTTGAAACTAGAAATATGGGCAATTGATTAAGAGAGGTGCCCACCTGTTGAGGCTTTCCAAATACTCTGTTCCAAACAGAAGAAAGTATCTGTAGCTCATGCTGGAATTATGGAGTCCTTGGTTGATTACTTGCAGACATTTCCTTACCAGACTAGGTAACATCATCAGTCTGCAAGCAACCAATCAAGTTCAGAGCATATCAAGGACTCCATTCTGTCCCCTCCTCTCCCAACCACCAGCATTCCACACCAACTGAGAAACCTCAGGAATGCCTGTGCTGTTCTCAATTCCCCCCCCCATACACAAAGAATGTCTGTGCATATGTGCACTTGTATATATGAACATACACATTTTCTGACAAAAACACCGTCACTTGGAAACTGAATTCTGTTTATATGTTTGTGTGTGTATGTGTGCATGATGTACGGTGTTCTTCTAACTCAGAGTGTTTTTGTTGTCTTTCTATTGGTTTTTTTGTTATTAAAAAGTTTTTATTTTCCATTTATTCATACAAAATACAATTAACCATTGGTACCGCCTGCCCATTCCCCCCAGGCTGCGTCCACCCTCTCTAAACCTTCCCTACTTCCCTCCTCTTTCTCTCCTCCCCTCCTACTCTCTTCCCCTCCCCTTCTCCTCTAACCATCCTACTTCCTCCCTACTCCTTCCTCCCCTCTCATCCCTCTCACACACATGAACGCAGCATAGGGGAAATGCCCAAGCATTTACCATGACTATATTATCATTACCCACCCACTCACCCACCCACCCACCCTCAACCCTCCCCCCCTCGCTTCCCAGAGCAGAGTACAGGGTTATTAATAAGAAGGTTAACAATAATAAAAAAAGAAAAAAAAAGAAAAAAACATCATACTTAACCTTTAACTCCCCTTAAATTAAGACATATAAACAAATCTCTACAACAGTTACTATAAAATTTACTCATAAAATAAATGAAACTTTATAGTCCCATATTTTTTCTGAATATAATCTATCCATCTTCTCCATACAATAATATATCTTTCTTGTGTATGATCCTTCAAATAAGCAGAAATTTTTGCCATTTCTGCAAAGTTAGAAACTTTAAATATCCATTCTTCTAAAGTAGGCAACGAGTCCTTCTTCCAATACGAGCCTACTAATAACCTTGCTGCAGTTAATAAATTCAACATTAAAGTAGTTTCTTTGTCATTTAAATCCACAAAGATACCCAATAGGAATAATTGAGGGGTGAACTTTATCTTCCTTTTAAAAATCTTTTGAATGTTCCACCAAATCATAATCCAAAAAGCCTTTACCTTTTTACAATTCGACCAAACATGAAAATATGTTGCATCTGTATTACCACATCTCCAACATTTGGGTTTTAAATTTGGATACATACAAGATAATTTTTTAGGATCTAAATGCCATCTGTAAAACATTTTATAAAACTTTTCCCTCAAATTTTGAGCTTGTGTAAATTTAACATTTCTAATCCAAATTGTCTCCCATAAGTCCAATGGGATCGGATCCTGGATATTCTGAGCCCATTTAATCATACAGTCTTTAACCAATTCTGTTTCAGAGTCTAATTCTATTAAAGCATTGTAAATTCTTTTTATATGGGCCTGACTCTGATCTTTAATCTGAATAACCAGATTTCCATCTTCTAGTGTTATTCCTTCTTTCTTATCTACAGTCCACCTGTCCACTATTTGTAAATATTGAAACCATGACTGTAGAATATTTTCTTGCCTTAATACATCTAGAGATTTTAAATGCCAATCCGAACCTGACCAAATTAATAATTCTTTATACGAAATTTTATCAAAGTTCATCCCCTTAGAAATCCCCTCAATTGCATGTCTAGGAATCCCCCAGATAGGTATTTTTTTTTTTTTTATTAAAAGTTTTATAAATTTTACAAAAAAAACAAGAACAATACAGAACAAAAAACAACATATACAAAAGAAAAAAAAAATTAAACAATACATATAAAAAAAAAAAAACCCACCCCACACCCCTCCCAAAAACCCTCCCTTCCCCCCCCCTGAGCTTCCCAGAGCAGAATATAGGCTTAAGAAATAAAAAAAAAATAAAAATTAAATTAAAAACTTTATATTTATATATATAAAAAAGATATCTATAATATATATAAAAATAAAACTTATGAAAAAGCTATATGATATTTTTGTATACCCAATCTAAATTGTATAAATTTTATCCATTTGTCCCAGATAGCAAAAAACTTCTCTTG